ATACAAATAAAAAAAGAAAGGAGTAAGAAAATAGTGATAACAAAAAGAACAAAATAATTTTACTTATTTTAATGCTACTACTATAAGTCTGTAGATAGTTTAAAAAAATTATATACTATTAGGCAAACTAATCTCTACTTCTACATTTATCTATCTAGTATATTAAAATAAAAACCTAATAAAAAAAACTTCATCAATCAGCATAATTATAGAGAAATTAGAGCAAAGTCTTAGAGCATTATTTGTACAGATATTCATTGTATTTGAAAAATATATATACATATGTTTGTTATCACATTTTTATTTAAAAAATAAATAATACTGACTTGTTTAGTATATATAATATTAATTATTTAGAGAGAATAAGCTAAGACACCTACTTTTTATAAAAATTTCTCAAAAAAAAGTGGTGAGCTAACAAAAGTATATAAGGTTCTTCTTGTAAATTTTATAGTTGTAGTTTTTTTATTTTTACTAATTTAGAAGTATACATTAGCTATCTTTACAAACTTGTTTTTAGAATAAACCTTTTGATTTAGATGTTGAATATCTTAAAGAGTCCACAAAGAAGAAAAACTTAATTCTAAGAAAAACTGTTTGTTCTTTTGATACTTACTCCTCAGTATATTATATCTAGATACTTAGATTTTGTCAGCAACAAGCTATTTCTATTTATAAAACCAAGTTTAGTATCTACTTCATTGTTTTTCTATATATTTTGCTATAGTTTAATTTTTGTTGTTATTAATCAGAGAATTGTCAAAAAAAGTTGAAAATAATTTTTTGAGTTTAATTTCTTTTGACTTGAATATAATAATGAGTTGACAATAAAGATATTTAAAATAAATCATTTTTAAAATGCTCTTAAACATCAATCTAGGTGTAATTTATAGTGATTAAACAGTTATACTATAATTTAGCTATTTATATAATATTTTAGGCTGTAATTTACTAATAATTGTAATGCTATATTAAATTAAAATAAAAGCTCTAGTTAATATTTAAGCAGCTATTATTAGCTCTTTATTTTTAATATTTATTTGTTAACAATTTTTAATAAATTAATAAATTTGTAGCTATAAGCTACATGTAGCTAGGTTAAAAATTATAACAAATTTAGAATCGTTTAATAATTAAGGTATATTAAGTTTAAATTAGAGTTAAAGTTATGGTTAAGCTAAAGTAAAATTGTATAATGAATATTTTTGCTTATGTTATAATAAAGTTATTATAGTAAAATTTTGAGATATTAGCAATTTTATTAATTTTATTATATATGGCTATATATAGCTATAGCTATAAATATATAATTCTATTTTAATAATAATAAAAATAGGGTGTGGTGACTTAGAGTAGTAGTTAAGTTGTCATCCCCCAAGTGGCAGGTCTAGAGTTCGAATCCCATCAGAAATGTTTTTAGAAAAATAGGTCTGTGTATTGGTAACAATTATTTGATAATTGGTTGGATATATTATCTGTAATCTTGGTACTACCATCTCAAAATGAAAGCTTTTGGATGATCTAAATCCAATTAACTGGAATAATTGAAACCTATTTGGCAAGACCCGAGTAAGGAGGTAGTGAAGATCTTCGATGGTACTGTGAAAAAGTCAGAAACCGGAGACTGAAGAACCAAATGAAAACCCTGGAGCAAGAAGGGTCCACCAACCTGACTGCTGGAGTCGCACTAGAGGAAAAGGTCCTATGCTATGGAATTAAGAACCAAGGAAAGTAAAACTAGAAGACACTTAAAGCCTAGATACAATAACCCGTCCGGGCTAACTGGTTTGGTAGTTGGGGAGGATTGGTATAAAGACCGGCTTGATGTGGGTATTGGGATCAGAACGAACCTTGCAAAAGCACCAGATACCGAAATTGTGCAGTTTAATGGTTTGCCCTGACTGCTAGTGGTGGTTTCAGCTGCTGCAAAAGATATTCGTAGCCTAATCTAGAAGTGTGTAGGATATAGAAAGATTAGGGGGTATATACTACACCCTCTCTAGGACAACCCAGTAGTATGAGAACCCTACTGAGTTATCTATAGAATTAGGGTACAAGTAGTATAGCAGATATCGATCTGGGTGGTCTTCAATAAGAAGCAACACAAGGTTATGTACTGGCATGATTGAGGTGGATGATACAGAACGGGGACATTAGAGAGTTTAAATGGGTAATTCAAATAATAGTGGGTTACAGGTACGGCATCTAGTGTAGACCCTAGTAATAGGTAGCTACTTAATTAGGCGCTCAAAAGGCACAGGTATGGTTAGAATGTATTCTCATTAACCAATAATATACTATCTAAAATAACTAATAAAAATTCGTCTTCACGCAACATTGCAAAGGTTAAAAAAAATAAAAAAATAAAAAAAATAATAATAATAAAAAATATTATAATAATAATACTATATATGCTAATAATGAATATTTGTATCAAAAAATATAAAACTAACTTTATTTATTTTAATTATAATCATGTTTGATCTGTTAAAATATTTTTCTACTAATTAAAAGTGATAATTAAGAATGTTTTTAATCTACTTTATTCTATGTTTAAAATATAACTATATCTTAGTCTGGCAAACTGTGTTTACAAATACTAGTATATTTAGATTATTTTAGATTTTTAAATTTTTTTTTGATATTTTAGTACAGCAGTATAGTATTTTGTCAACTAAAATTCTAAAATCTTCTGATTATCATTTAAATATTATAAAAGAAGCAATTTTTATTGTTCTAATTTGAAGAAACATTTAAAGCAAAATTACTTTATATTTAATAATTTTCTTGCCTAATTTTAGGGTAAAAGCTAGGGTTGACATTAGACAATATCTATTTAAATAATTTTTTAGACCTTTAGGCATTAGACAATATTTAAAAAATAATAAAATTATTAAACATATATTTAATTTGTTAATTAAATATATATTCAATTGTCTAATATTTTTATTAAACAAGTTTAAAATATAATAGCAAAAGCTTTATTGTAATACTTTTAGGTCTGGTCTAGGTCTGGTTTAGGATTAAACTGAACTCAAACTCTAAATTTTACTAATTTTAAACTTTAAACCAAACTCAAGCTCAATTATAAATTTGGTTTAAGTTCAATTTGAAATTTACAAACTAGTTTTTAAATTCAAATATATTTATATATTTTACTTAAAAGTTGAAGAAAAGATGCTTAATTTTGATTTTTTTTTGATCAAAAATCCAAAATTAAGCATCTTTTTCATAATTTGTGCAGCATAAAAAAATACATATAAATATATTTAAATTCAAATTAGTTTACAAACTTCAAACTAAACTTGAATCAAACTTAGACTTGACTAAAAAGTTTGAATATATTAGCAAATATTGGTCTGAATTAAGTTTAATTTGGGCCAAAGTTTAATAAATTTTTTTTTATGTTCAATAAAAAAATTTACTGTGTCCAAATGTCCAAATCCAAATGTCATATCGTAACATGCCATCCCTGATGAGGGCCATCCTATATTAGGATCAGGTTAGGTTTAGATAGTTAAATATAAGCAAAATTGCCTTCCTGACATTTTTGTTTAACCTACCCCAGGTAGGTTTAGATGGCCGTTTTTTGTATTTTTCGGGTTTTTGGTTTTTATTTTTTGGTTTGCTTCGCCGGCGATCATCAAAATTCTATAATTTGATTGGCCGTGATCACGTGAATTTAACTCCGCTTTAGATAGCAAAAATCACAAAAAATTATATACATATTATTATATAATCGTTCATTACTGAAATCATGAACCCGGAAAACTAATCATTTGGTTAATTTTTCACCAGATATTCCAAACTTTATAAGAACAGCTGTAATAACCGGATGGGTTTTTAAAGAAATTTTTAAATAAGTTCTATATATATGAAATTTTTAAAAAAAAGCTGGCCGGCCAGATCTGTTTAAAAGTTTCATGTTATGAAAACCAAGATATTAAATTTATGTGGTCTAATCTCACTTTTTCATTTTAACTCTACCTAACCCTAACTCTAAATCTCAGTAATATATAATAATAAAGCGGTGATGATCTTTAGCAAAATTATCAAGAAACTGATTTGTTGAGGTGAAGGTAATAATAAATCCAGATGCCGATACATTATGCAATATAATTATTGTTATTACGAGAACTCAGCTTCCGCGATCAAAATCCGTAAAAATAACGACGATAGTTAGCACTATGGTGTACGAAGCTTTAAATAATTACAATATATCACGAGGACTATCCAGGCAATGTTGCTATTAAAGTCCAATTTTGAATCGCTCTTGAACACCGCAAATGGTTAAGTCATCTCTGAGATATCTTCGTTAAAAAATTATATATATATTAAATTCAAAATTTTTTGGAATAATCCGATAATCGAGTGCAATTTCGAATTCTTGAAAAAAATTTACCGTAAAACGCCGTATAAGGTACCCCCCTTGATTTGTACCCCCCTTGATTTGTACCGGGTATGTTTCAAGGTTATTTGTTGTGGTGTAAGAGACCCGGGTATAAATCAAGGATCGATTTAATAATGAAAATCTTTTTTTACTAATGGGCTAATATATGTTTTTCACAAGATACCCCCCATATAACATACCCTCCTCCATACAAGGTACCCGGGGGGTACAAATCAAATGGTAGCTAGTTAAACGAAGCCGTGTAACCACATGACTAAGGATAAACAAAGTTTTTTTTTATGCTTTTTGCATTTTATCATAGACGAACCCTCAAGCTTGGTATGTCTATGTAAGCTTGGTTTAGAGTGTTGACTGTATAAAGCTTACAAAATTTAACTCAGCCGGGGTTATAAAAACCAAAATTTTTTTTCTTAAATCTATACCAATATTGTTGATTACAAATAAATTTGTGTGGCTGTTTGATAACCAATCTGTCGTAACCACTCGCGACGCAGCAATTGTGTGCATATTAGAGCATATTATTTTTAAATTTATATTAGATTTCGTTTGTCACCGTTATCTTCAGATTTCTACGCAAACTTTATTCAATATGAGTGGTAGAAGAAGAGCCGATTCACTGAAGGGTTTGTCGCTTCCAAAATATAACCGACCTCAAACTGAAGAAGAGATGGCTTCGATGCATAATTATAGGGACAGGTAATAATATGTTACGTTTGAATAACTGACATAAATTAGCTATTAAACCAGCTTTTATTTGTAGTGGCATCCTTCTTCTCTCTTTGACTCAATCTCGACAAGCTTGGACAAGTTCTATTTTAAAAAAGTTCTCAAGCAAACAAGAAGTTATTTATCAACCTAAATTACCGGAATATACAAATCCAAATGCGATTGTTTCATTACTGGGAAAATGTCATATTACCATAGGACCACACACTTTTTACGATACTAAAATTTATGAGGCCGTATACGAAAAAGAAATGCCAAGCACAGATGTTCAGGCTGGAACTTTTCAAATCCAACCAACACAACTAGGATCGCTCCAATCTCCTACACAACAGCAAACGCAATCAAACGCACAAAGCTTAACACAATCACCACAATCAGGTATACAGACTCCGTTACAACAACCATTGCCTGCAACTCATACACAACATTCGTCTCAGGCGAAAACGTCGCCAACTTCATCGACACAATCATTTCCTAGACCAATACATCCTGCTATACAACCAAGACCGCCGACACAACCACAAACTCTTTCGCAAACACAAGTACCGATTCAACCACGAGTTACTTTACCAAGGATATCTGCGCGCCCTGTTACTAATACAACGGTCGCTTCGGCTTTGCCTATAAATGGTTCTAGCACAAATACAAATGGGAATGTCCCATCATCTTCTGCAAATATAAATGCAAGTGCTACATCTTCTATGCAAACAAATGCAAATACTACACCTTCATCTGCAAATACAAGCGGTACATCTTCGTCTGCAAATGCGAATGCTAGTACACCAAAAGTTCCACCACAAGCTACGCCTCAACTTACTGCGTTCATGCAAACAGTACTTCAATCTGTTAATCCAACACAAATATTGGCTATTCAAGAACATTTGCGCCATCCTCAGGTGGCGGCTCATATGTCTATCGAGCAAAAAAATGCATTAATTAGTCAATTAACGATAATCCATCAGTTGCTAACGTCGACACAATTAGCACAACAGAAATCTCAGCAGCAATCAGTTCATTTACGAACACAGTCTCCTGCAATGAAAGTTAGACAAGTTGTTAGACATGAAGTCCTGTTAGAGTTTAAGGAAACCAAAAATGATAAATGGTTGTTTCCAAAAGATGCAATATTAGAAGCATTGTCAATGTCAGAACCTTACGATGTAAGGGTCACTTATGTATTTTCGAGTTTTAAGTAAACACAACTAATTATTAGGACTTACGAGAATATTCCTTATTAAGGTGCTTGCTTCATTTTATCTTCCTCAAAACGAAGAAACATCAGGTTCTAAACAGCAACATCAGCCCGTCACGATGCACATGACTAATATAACGCAACCGATGTTGGACGCGTTAAAAAAGGCAACGAATGATGTAACTACTGTCTTCAAATCAATGGCTGCAAAGGTAAGAACGTTTTAATAGAATTTAATATTTTACATGGATATTTACAACGCATGTTTAATAATAATCGATTATAGGTGAACAAGCAACCTAATCGTGTTTACTTACAATACTGCTTGCCTTGCGATTATCCAGAAGATTTATTAGAGGTAAATTTATTATATTCTGTTGATATATATTGTTAATGAAACTGCTATAAATTGAGTCATTAATTATAGGTGATTGGACAAAAAGTTGCTAAATTGGACGGAACTACCAACGATAATATAACTCCGCCAAAGGAAAAGAAACGTAAGCTTGATAAAGAGAAAGAAAAAGATACTGATACAGAAATAGACATAGAAGATGTAAAGGATGGTGAGATAGATATCATGGATTATGTAAGGAATTCTCAAATTTAATGATCTTATGTTTAGTGTTATCATAGTTTTAAATTGAATGTTTATAACTTAGAAGGTTGAGACTACGAATAAAAAGCAAAAACCTAGAAATGGGGAAGGTAACAAAGCGTCATCAAGAACATCAACCTCTACTCCAAAAAGGGCAAAAACAGTGCCTGATGTTTCAGCTTCTGTAGCTCCTGTTCAAACTACTGGAGGTAACAAACGTTGTGCTTATTGCTTTTGTAAGAGTACTCCTATGTGGAGAAGAGGTCCGGATGGTGCTGGTAAGTTGATATGTACTATATTGTACGGAAAAATAAGCGTCCGAAATTTAAGGGTGGTTTAAATTCAGTATAATACATGTACATGTGCTAATTCCTATAATTCTTTAAAAATTTTAAAAATTTTTGGTACTTTATCCTGATATATAAATTTCAAACCTATATGTTTATAGGGACTCTTTGCAATGCCTGTGGCGTGAAATGGAAACAAGGAAAGATATTACAGGGTACTAGTGCAAACCGTGCTACTGAAGCCAATGGCGACTCCGCGACTGTTTCACCAAGCCCTAAATCTAGAAAATATTCATTGTCGGCAGCATGCACTTCTGCTACTGCAACTACTACATCAAAAGTTAAGAAGAAGCCTGGACGATCACTTTCAATGAGTGAAGGTGCGTTATCACATACTGATGATGATGAAAACCGTGATAAGAATCTTGGCGATACTGGAGAAAATTTGAACGCAGAGTCACAAAAGAGTGGTAGTGGTAGAAGGGCATCTGCATCATCAAAGAAAAATAGTTTCAAAGGTTAATGTTTGTCAATATTTTTGGTGATGTGCAATATTATAGTTTTTTAAATCGATTGTGAAAGGACTTTATTTGGATATTCCGATAAGTTCCATTATTATTATAATTACAATGAAACTGTGATAGCTGAGCCTAATCTATCCGTTTTGTAATCAGCAACAACTACCACAGTCTTTGGTGGTGATATTGCAGCCTCTCCAGGCAAATGTCTTTTTTTTTTTTTTCTTATATGAATTAGTGTTGATAAAGTATTTATATATATGACTGTTTAATTAATAAATATCAACGGAATTTATTATACCATATCACATAATAGACCCAGAATCCTCGGATATTGTATCCAGTCCATCACGATCACCACAGTACCCATCCGCATCTACTGCAATGGGAGGGGTAGGGATGCCAACACCTCGCGCTTCTACTACAGCACCTACGTCAACAACAAATTCTCCAACCACACTAGGAGGTGGTGGTGGATTTCCAATAAATTTGAAATTAAATTCAATCTCGTTTGGTTCATCGGAAAATAATTTGATTGGAGGAAATAGTAATAACAATAATCAACAAGGCGGAAGCTATTATTTCTCTCAACCCAACTGCAGTGCGCAAGTTTTTGAGGATTGTTTAAAAATAAGATTGGAAAAAGATGGTTATGAAAAAACCAGTATTGATATTTGGAAAGAAAATATTGATTTTTTAAATTTTGAAAATGAAAGAGATTTGGCTACTGGAATTCCCTTACTTTCCGTCCAAGCACATGTTAATCAGCATTTAAATAGGTAAATTGTTTGTTTTTCATTAATGATAAAGAATTTAAAAATTAATTATATTATAACTTTATTAGGTTCGACCAAGAATTATTAAACCCTGAACGTAATAATACACTAGTAACGTTCAATTTTATAAATTTGAATGTTAACTTTAGACATACTACAATGATTGAAAATAATGGAAATAGCAATGATGTATTTAGAAGCGGCGAAAGTAGAGACCTTAAAACATTTTTAGAAAAATGGGTAACTTCTGGAATTAATATTACAAAGTAATATTACTTTATGGATGATAACCTTATGTAAGTAGTATTGTAAAAAAAAAAAAAAAAAAAAAAAAAAAAAGGAAAAAAATTATTGATTGTTCGGGTTAAGTTGGCTAATATTTTTAGGCTAGATTATTTCAATATATATAAACTCATTCCCCCAAAAAAATAAAAAAAAGTTAAAAATGGAGCAAATGATAGAATCAATTAAGTGTATAAAGAAGTGTAGAGCATACAATTCAGTAATAAAATGAATAATCTACGCGATAAAAATTAACGTTCATTACGAATTGGTGACTTCCAAATTAACATGCTGTTGAAAATTATCTCAACAAAATCATTAAATAATTCTGTTCACAAAATGTCTAATATATAAATTAAATAATCGTTTCACGTTTTAGTCTACTCGTAAGAAATATTACTACCAGATGAACTGTTTTTTTCGTTGTCAGCGTATTCACCCATATCGTCGTCATCCTGTCCAATCGCGAATTTCTTTTTGCCCGTTTTATTATGGGGAAATAACAATGGTGCCGCAAGGTCATCCTCATTAATTCTATTGCAGAAAAATTTAGTCATAACACAAATGGATGCAATATCCATAATGCGTGGTCAACCTACCTTCTAAATTCATAACCACCTTCTCCATCAAACCGAAGAAGCCACTCGTGATATTTAACTAGAATAAAATTAAATCAATATATATATTAAACAATAGAAAGTAAATGTCTAGAAAAAATAAGAATATGCCACATACACTAAGGTTTTGTATTTACAAATAATTATTACAATAATTATGGTTAATTTCAATTCTTTTTTTAATAAGTTCAGGGGCAAGTAATCTAATTTACTTACTAATGAGTGTCTGTGTGAAACTGTAAATAATGTAATTCCTAACTCACGGGCGTGTGTATACATGATACCTTCAACGTCAACACTCACAGCACTCGTACATTCATCCAGGATCGCCTATTTTAGGATGTAAAAATATGGCATCAATATTTCATGTATTAATTTACGACTAATTCAGCATATTTTATTCTCAGAAAAAAAAAAAACCCTACAAATTGAGGCTTATGATAAAATAATCTTGCCATAGCCACTCTCTAAGAAACAAGAAATTATTAAATTTGACCAACAGTAGCAACAAATAAGAGTATCTTGTCTATTATATATTGAATTTTTACCTGTTTTTCACCTCCGGATAGAACATCAGCCCAATCTCGGACAACATCCCATCCACCCTCTCGTGCAATTAAATTACCCAACTGAACGACATCAAGTAATTCCATTAATTTGCTATCATCGAACCCTTTGAACCGTGCCATAGTTTTAGTATCTGGATAAATAACCTATTTCGTTTTCCATTAAATAACAATATTTCAGATATAAAAATCAAATTTATGCAAGCTAAAAAGCCAAGATGCAACATACTTGATCACGGAAAGTTCCAAGTGCTAAGTATGGTTTTTGAGGTACGTAAAACAGCTTGGAAGCTGGAGGCTTGGTAACAGTTCCACCTACGAAATTAAAATAAATATTATAGGCTAACACATAAGGAACAATTTTGTTAAAGTAATTAACCCACCAAATAAGGGCCACAATTCGCCGAGAATACGGAATAAAGAGCTTTTTCCCTAATAAAAAGGATAAAAAAAGGTTGTTATTATTATTAATATATTGGATTAAATAAATCTATTTAAAAAAATTTAATGCTAACGCATCCATTGGGTCCAAAGATAAGGCAGTTCATTCCCGTTTCAACCTTGAATGACAATTCTTTAACCTATAGGGATGATATATACTAGATTAAAAGCCGTAAACAACAGATAACAAACAAAAACTATTATTTACCAATATATCTTGACTAGGTGTTACAATTGGGACTTTTTCAAAAATAATAACACCATCGCGTGCTACGATTTTGCCATTAAGGTCATTTTGCGACACGACTGTGATATGTATAAGCAATATTAATTGACTTTTCTCTATGCAGTAATGTGCTTGTTTGGAATATCTACATACTCTTACTAGTGTTGGCTTCATTTGCATCTTTGTTAACAATGGTACGTTCGTACCTGCCACTATTAACATCATCTAGTACATCAAAAAGTTCTGCCACGCGAGCCTGTTCCAAAAAAATATAATTTTTTTTCTTTTTAAACCCTATCAAATATATTTAAGAAATGAAAGCAACAACGATACGAAAGATTAAACATACAGTATATCCTGCAAACCTGGTCAAATCACGTCCTGCCAGAATCAACCTTCCAACAGCTTGGGATAGGTTCACTAGATAACCGGCTGTACAAAAACATATTACTTCAATATATGGGGGTGAGTCAATAGAAATCAAGCAAATTGTTTTTATTAAAATTTTTTTAAAATTTTATATACCAATAACTTAACCAAAACTTGATCAAATTTAATAAAATTTTTTTTAAACAAATTCTATAAGTTTGTAGAATTTATTTAAAAAAAATTTTATTAAATTTGATTAAGATTTTGTTGAGTTATTATTGTTTAAAGTTTTAAAAAAATTTACTTAGAAAAAATTTGCTTGATTTCTATTGACTCAACCCCATATGTAATGAATTATTAAACATTCGAAACAGATACTGTTATTTATGACCCACAGTTTCTCGAATAGTCTTCCATAATCTTTGTTGGATCGGCATCAAGTTTGCCCATAAATTCGGTAGCTATGTGAGAATGATTGGTTATATCAAGTTAAATATAACTCAAACATTAGCAGAGATTTTATGTTGATGGCTTACCATACTGCGGATCAAATACAGGTCTTGCTAATAAACTAGAGTGAATGCGACGTGTAAAATAAAATAAGAGCAATAGATAAAAAAAAATTATAAATAATAGACCACTTACTAATAAGCAGTCATTGTTGCACAATATTTAACTAAAACGGAATCAATGATTCCGTTAATAAAACGGAGACGGTATATTTTTTTGATATGTTTCACAATTTTATCAAAACTTCCGTTGACCACAATTTGTTCTCGTTCACCACCGCCATAAAAAGCAATTTCTTCCGAGTGAGCAATGATACGCGACTGGAGTATTTAATTAAATGAAGTTATGTAAGCGACGTTTTCTTAAAATATATGTATATGTATAGGACAAACACGAAGAGATTAAATTCTCACATGCGTAAATCGAAAATCACCCTCGAGCTTTTGCTCTATAGCAGTATCTTTGAAACACAAGCATGTCAGTTACATGGCCAAATAAATAAATTAAGGAATATAAACTTATGAATTAAATCGCACATTTGCCAAATGGTGGTGAAAGTGCACGAAGGAGAACACCCGAACCCACGAAATATGCAATCATAAAAATCGGTGCTAAATAATAATAATAAGTTAGAAAAGTGTATATATATTGTGGGGGACGATGTTAAAATTGGCTGATGCTGAAATTTGGGTCTCGATTTGAAAATATAAACCCTACTAAAATCCACAAATACTTTTGAATTATTAATTATAACCCTAAATCATAACCAATCCTAAAAAAAAAACGGAAAAGAGTACCCCAAAAGTTTTAAAATTTCATATAAAATAGATCCAGATTTCAGTTTCAGCCAATTTCAGCTTCCGCCACCACATATATTTACTTTAATTTTATCTTTGTTCAATGAAATATACCTTCTTTACCACTTTTTACGCGTAAAGTAATTACACCAATATATTAATCCAATATACATGAAATATAACGTTACGATATAATTGTAATATTATTACATACATGGCTTCGCCTAATTTGTAAGCAAACAATACCATATCGACAAGCGGCTTAGCAAAATCCGAGTATAAATGACTTAGATTTTCTGCGAACTTATCGATATCCTTATAATAAAAAGAAGATATAAATTGATACATTTTATCTAATAAAAGATAATCACAAATACAAATGACTTCAGACGCCCACCTGAGTCAATAATTGATCTGCATTTTGAATCCGATTATCGAGATTAGAAATCTTATAGAAAACAATATCTTTTAAGTAGTTCTTATTTGCGTGCTATAGTATGCAAATAAAGGATAATGATAGCATACAAATTCAAATTTGTGAATATATTTATATATTACAGTATTAAACAAATCAATAAATGTCGGGGATGAAGAGAATTTGAATTATTTTAATATAAAATTTTAAAATTTTTTGAGCTATTTTTTTTTGGCTTTTTTTTTTAAAGTTAGGTTAGAATTTAGAGTTTATAATAAAAGAATATATGTAAATTTTAGTAGGGTTTATATTTTTAAATTGAGAACCTAACTTCTCAGTATCATCCGATTCCAAGCTTCATCCTCGACAATAAATATTGATCCGATTCAATTAATACCTTTGTAAGCCGAGATCTGAATGCCAAGGATAATGCGCTTATAGTAAGCTTCAACGAATTGTTCACAATACTCATCGGCCACTAAGATAAAATGATAGACATAAGCATATTCGATTATTTATCAAGTAATTCTGAGTTACACCATTGGTGGTCAACACCGTATATATTTTTATATATAGTAATGTTAACGTTAAATTAAACGTTAACGTTAATTTTAATATTAACATTAACGTTAGGATTAGAATTAGAAGTTAAAGATTAGGTTAAAAGTTATGATTAAGGTCAGAATAGGGTTTTGCCTAGAGCACCAGGTATTAATTACTTAGCTAGTCTTCGAGACATAGCGACTACGGTGGTAAACACCACTGGTGTGATTTTCCATAATAAAAGGATGTGTATATAAGATAAATGCTTTACCATCATGAATCCAAATTCAACAACAGCTAATGCAATAAATGTTTTTCGATCACGCGACACAATTGCTTTAACAACGTGGCTATTTACAAAAAGCAAAATAAAAAGACTTTAAGAATGCCATTCTAAAATTCAAGGAAAATAAAATGTATTTCTTACCCATTAAACCCAGAAAACCTGTTAGATAAAATTAGAAAGCAATAGCATTAATCTTACAAAACTTTGCCAAGTAAATCATCACAAAACATGGACAAACGCCCATATTATTAACAAATTTCTATCACGAATAAAAAGGTGTCCAGATCAAAGTTTACCCACACTGAATTTAATAATTCCACTACTGTAAGGCTAATATCATTTCGAGAATTTCTTGATTATATTATCGATTCTTACCATATATCAAGCCAAGTACGAGCGATTAGAACCAATGCTAAACCAATTAGTAGCACTGTTTCCTTGGAAGCAAAACCTACCAATGTGGTGTGTGAGCACAGGAAATCAGCGGATTAAACACAGAGAAAAGTTTCTCCTACCTGGTATACAAATTGGTAATAGCTTTCTAACCTGTGCGAAAAAGCGCGCGTCTACACCAATTTTCTTCGATCGTCTGCCCCTCTCTGGGTCAGATGAAACACTAGATGCCTTTTGAGCGGCTTTTCTCCTTTTTTCTTCCGCGACATATTGTTTAATAAGGTACCCAGCAACAATAATAAAAATGAATAATACGGAACGCTTTTTTGATGATAATGGGAATGAATTATCGCGAGTAAGATTCTGCCCCATCGTGCTGAAAACGTACTAACTATAGAACGTGAAAGGAGTGGTCGAATATCAAATGATAAAATTGAGAAAAGAAGATATAAAAAAAAAAATAATTCAAATTTCTTAATATAAAAAATTATCAGTTATAGTACGTATGTACGTACGTACGTATGGTACATACGATGCGAGATCTGTTACGTAATATAATTCCCGGCCACGTTACCCTTCTTCGTAATCTAATTTTTGAATCATACTAGTAAATCTCTACTCAACTGAGTAGAAATTGTTTTGCAGGTCATTCCCAATTTAAAATTTTTAGTATTTAACCCGTAAAACCTAAAGATTATTAATTTAATAATATGTTTAAAACAAGCATCACCGTACAGCGCTGACCACGGTATTCCATCTATGTAAAAAATTTTTCATATGAAAATGAAGAATCACCAAGTATAGTATCCCGAGCATTAATTATAATTTGACCGTGGAATGTTATACTGCGCTATAAACTTAAAAAATATACTAAACTGATTTAGTGCTCGTAGTCAACCTAAATTTATCGACTCAAGATATTTAAAAAATTAGCTTAGCGTAGCTAACTGTTAACGTTAAGAGTAGGGTGAAATGATCTACATTTCAATAGTAATCACGTTACTAAATTTTTTACAATAACATCAGGTGATGATCATATGTTATTTATGTTGTGTAACTTAGGCAAATTTCGATTAACTTAGGAAGAATTAATGATATATGTAAGTATATTTTTTTCGAACCTAACAAAGGTTCAAATTCTATTATTATAATTAGATGGGTTTAATGTATATACTGTAAAAATTTTACGAAAAAAAATTGTATTTTTAAAAACTTTTATATGTAACATGTGTTTAATTTTTGCTAAAATTTTTTTAGCTGATATACTTATATAGAAAATGATCTACATTCACTCTACCCTTAAACATTGTTAACGGTTTTTGTATCACATGATTTTAGATCTTGATCATTAAAAATGTTAACGGATTTTGTGTTATGTGACAAGTCAAAAGGATAGTTGATTTCTGTTTTTTCTTTAATCTCGTTACTAATCTGTTCTTTATATACATGATCCAGAAATTCGATCTCTCTATTTTTAGAAGATTTAGTTTTTATGTAAATTGGTGATGCGGAGGATTGAGTTTTCGTCTCCTGATACACATCAGAATTGAAGCGTTATTAGTTATTATTTTTTTTTTTTTAAGGTGAGATCACATATTTAATATTATAACTACACGAGACTTAGACTACATTTATCTATGACCTAAGCCTATCTGAGCCACTATGTCTTATTCACATATAACCAGGATTTTTGTATATTATTACTAAGTTATTAAGATTCTATTATTATTATATTTCTCCATATTTCACATTGTATAATCACCAATTTCCAATTGGTTTTATCAGAAAGTTGCTCCTTATAAGCTTTCAGTTCTTTGGTATATCTGATGAGATTCTAGAGTTCTTTGCATCACAGAATTTATGCTTTGCTATGTTACAGATCATTAATTGAATACAATTTCTATATAAGTAGATTAATTTATACCAGTTTACAGTGATGTATATTTTGACTGTCCAAAGGCTTTTTTGGTACTGTCCAACTTCTAAGTGTCCAAGTGTCCACAAGTATCCAGAGTATATCTAAGCTTTAATAATTAATAAATTTGTTTAAAAAATATATAATTATATATTTTTTTAGATACTAAACATATTT